GGATACCAAGAGATCTCTAGCATATATTGAGGATACCGAGAGATCCTCGGGATACCAAGAGATCCCTAGCATATATTTAGGATACCGAGAGATCCTCGGGATATCAAGAGATCCCTGGCATATATTGAGGGTACTAAGAGATCCTCGGGATACTGTGAGATCCCCGGTTACTTCCTTGTGGTTTGCCTTCTTCTTTGTTTTCGTTATTGTACTCTTATTATCCTGTGCAGATTCTTACTGTAGATTCTCAATTGTACTGCTTATCTTATCCTATCATCTTTATATTTGTAGGGCCCTGACCTTCCTCGTCACTACTCAACCGAGGTTAGGCTTGGCACTTACTGAGTATCGCTGTGGTGTACTCATGCCTCTTCTGCGCATGTTTTTCATGTACAGATCCATGTACCGCTACTCAGGCCTATAATCTATGAGGAGGCGACTGCTCTAGAGACTTCGAGGTACATCTGTTGTGTCCGCAGACCGAGAAGTCTCTTTCTATTCCTGCTTTTAGTACTTAGCCCTTCTATACTTTTTTCTTTTCTTATTAGACATTCCGGAGTTAGAGCTATATAGTATTGATCTCAGCTTGTGATTCGTTGGTTTCCGGGTCTTGGATTTACGTATTGGTATTGAGAGTTAAACATGGTGTATGTCGAGCGGCACATTTAAACACTATTATTACTTTATTCCTCTTTTAAATTGTTTTACTTCTGCAATTTAGGCTTACCTAGTCGTAGAGACTAGGTGCCGTCACGATGGTTCAGGGAGGGCGAACCGGGATCGTGACAAAGTGGCAACGCTAAATTAAATAAATAATATCATTTCTAATAATGTCATTTTAATTGGAAAAACTCTCAATTTCTTCAGAAAAAGGAGGTGTGACTGCTACATATTTTTTTATATAGCAAATAACCTTTCTAGGGGATTTCTAACCCAAGAGTAACTTTTTCCTCTCTTCCTCCTATCATCTTCGTACTATAGCCTACTCGCATCTCGCATATCCATTAAAATCTCTATCTCTCTAGTGTTACAATTTCCCCGAAGAACCACCATCGGCCTAACCTGCCGGAACACTGTCGTTAGACCTCCTTTTTATTTTTTTCTCCTTTGTACTCTCTCTTATCTCACCCGCTATGAAAAATCCTCAATATAGTACCTCAAATTCCTCAATCCAGATTGACCTCGTCATTACCTCCATCATCGTCGTCACTGGAATCCATGGCCAACCTATCGAATTTCTTATATCCGAGTGTATTTTCTCGTATCTGAGTGTTTTCTCATATTTGAATATTTTATTTCTTGTGCCCGAATTAAATATAACGAAATACACATTATGACCAATTTTTTGTTGGTTTGACCGGATTTTGGTAGATACAATGTGATGGTTTATTCTTAGATCTGGCCGGATTTTTGTTCATCTCTATTTTTAGTTTTAATACAATGTATTCAGTGTTTCTCTTGGTCGGAAGACGTCATCTCCAACGAACTTTCTTCTCTTTTTTGCTATTGAGTCACATACAATGATATAAATATAGTGTATTCTGTAGAAATACAGTCAAATTTGAGTGTATTCTATATTTTCAATGCAAATACTATTTATTTTTTTGTATTTTGCCTGTATTTATGTATTTCGAAGGCTATTTTTTTGTGGTAAATCCCTATATTTTTGGAATTTTTGTTGTTTGAATACAACCAAATTAAATACAGTATAAAAGCAATTAGAAGTGAATGCAGTGAATTGAATACAACCGAATATCACTATTTTTTGTGGTTTTTTGTTTTTGAATACAATCGAATCGAATACAGTAAAATTGAATACAATATGAAATAGTTAAGAATCAATATAGCTGAATTGAACACAGTACATATACTCGAATTAAATAGAATGGTATACACCATATTTCTTAATTTTTATTATTTGAATACAACTGAATTCAATACAGTGAAATTGAATACAATACAAAATATATAAGAATGAATACATCCGAATTGAATATAGTTGAATACAACAACATACAACCCATGGCAAGCAATTAGTAGTTACGAAATTAATTAGTTAAATTATAGATACGCTCAACAATAAGCCTTCAAACAATAGTCATTTCTGAAAGTTCCCCTGAAGTGTAAGTATCTATTAATGATGTGAGACCTTTTGGGGAAAGTCGTGCGGCCTTGGCCCAAAACGAATAATATCACGTCATATTAAAAGTATCGTTAAACTGGTTAAGCCCAACCATTTGAAGTAAAAAATTTCTACTTTATTTGCTTTCTAATCTTTATTTTATAAAAGTCTCCAATTAACTTCAACAAAAATATTCGAACTAATCCAGTTTCAATAGTAAAAAATTATTCAGAGCGCCTCCCAATGAATTCAATAGTAAAAAATTAGATTCGAAGCGCCTCCCAATGAAGCTGGTAGAACAAATAGTCCGATCATTATCGACCACCCAACTACCACTAGCACGCAGCAATCAAAGGATCCAAATTTACAGTCAAAACCTAAGGCACAGTAGAAAAATGCTCGGTCTCAAAACGTCAGGACCTGCACCTCCAACACCTTGCTCTCACTTCTTATCCCCCAATCCTACCACTGCTACTTCTCGCCATTTCAAGCCTTATTCCTCATTTCGTTCTATCAAAATGTCAGCTGAACAAATCGTCGAACACGTTGTGCTCTTTAAAGCCAAGCCTGATGTTGACCCGTCAAAGCTTAGTGCCATGGCCAACAACCTCAACAGCTTAACTTCTCTCAACCAAGTCGTTCACCTCTCCGCTGGTCCGCTCATTCGCGACAGATCTTCCTCTTTCTCCTTCACTCACATCCTTCATTCTCGGTACAAGACAAAATCCGACTTGGCCGATTACTCTGCGCACCCCGACCACGTCAGCGTCGTGAAGGAATACGTGTTGCCGGTGGTTGATGACATCATGGCCGTCGATTGGATTCCAACTGATTTCTCCGGCCCGAGTGAGGTCCCGCCTGGTTCGGCGTTGAGAGTGACGTTTCTTAAATTGAAGGAGAATTTAGGGGAAAATGAGAAATCACAAGTTTTGAGTGCTGTTGGAGGAATTAAAGAAAAATTCCCTGGGATTGAACAGTTGACTGTTGGGGAAAATTTTTCTCCGGGTAGGGGGAAAGGTTTTTCGATTGCTTCCATTGCGGTTTTCAAGGGAGTGAATGAATTGGAAGCTTTGGAGTCGCAAACTGAGCTGGCAAATGAGCAGAAAGAGAAGGTTAAGGATTTTCTGGATGGTGTTGTTGTGGTAGATTATGCTGTTCCTCCTACTCAATCAGCTAGCCTTTGAGTAAAGATCAGCAAGTGAGGTTATTCTTGCCTCTAACTGAAAGTCAATTTGCCTTTGTGCTTAAAAAGCTTAGTAAATTTGCTTTGTTGGGGTGTGACTATGATTTGCGTTTAAACATGGCTAATAAATTCAGTTATCCTTCGTTGGTGAAATGCATTTTTTTTTTTTTGCATCTTGAACTTTTGCAAAGGTGTCCTTTTTATGGCCTCTTTATAATAACATTTTATATGCTTTTCATTCGATCAGGTTTTGAACTTTCCATTACTATTTTGCTTCTGTAGCCATACTTAAAAAGCGACTGTTGTGTATACTATTGTGATGTTTTAACAGGTTGAAAACTTTGGTCATTTTCCAGGATGGCATAAGCCGGATATGGACTAGAATACCTTGCATCATTCTGATAATGTTTGATATGGATATTGTGTGTTTTATATAAAGAATTTAGAGTTTGGGTATATAATTTTTTGAATTGGTAGATTGGGAGGATATTTTGATGGATCTCGTAGCTAACGGCATAATCCTTTCAACCTTCGCTAGTGAGAAGGTAAAACTAGCATACTGTTACCGATAACCCTTGGGTAGAGACCATAGTTATGATTTGACACCGTCCCGAAGGATGTCCACAATTTACTTTGTTTATCCGTCGAGGTAAGTTGTGAGACCCCATGTGTTTTTTTTCCTTTCTCTTACGTAATATACGTAACGTGGCGTGGTTATATTAGGTATATACGATTGGGTATAGCACATTGGGAGAATAAGACTGAAAATGTGTGGTAATATCAAGGAACTAACTAAAGCTTTAGGTCAAAGGAATCCCTTAAACAAAGGTTCGTGGTTAAAGAAATGGCTCGGGTAGCACCCCGCGCGTTCGGAAGGTTTAAGTTAACTTGCACCTGTGGGATAAGACTAAGAGTGTCTAATATGCTAAGAATAGTGTGTTATGAGGTATTATAATATCACACGGGTCACATGTTAAGTTTTGGAGTCAAGCAAGTTGCGAAATAAAGGTCGGCAAAGGTTATCGTAAATTTCTCTAATAATTTTTCTAAACTTTGGGTCAAATGTATCAGATCATTTCTCCCAATATATAATGAGTTATGGGACCCACAACCTATCGAATCGAAGGTCTACAAGTCTAGTTCGCAAACAAAAAAACTCCACATCAAATGGACATTGGAGTAAAAAGTTATGACTGTTTTACCCTGGACTGTCCAGGCTGAAACCGGGTCGCGAACCGAGTCGGGTCAAACAAGTGGTATAAGTCGGCAAATCCGACTTGTAAGACCCCAAAACATTTCATTTTCGTCCCAAAACAGTGAGGGAGCTGAAGAGAGGGTTCCATGGTGTTTTTGAGTGATTAAGGTACGTTTTTAATGATTTCTACCGTTAAAGTTTGTCCCCGTGCCTAGAAACTCAATCTCTACGCTTTGCAATCGTTTCCCCCTTCTATTAGCTGTGTTTGGAGCTATTTTTGGAAGATAGGAATTTGTTGTTCTTGCTGGTTCTTCAGGCTTTACACTTGATTTTCCAAGGTAATCATCTTGGGACTCTTTTATGACCGTTTTTACAAAGTTCTACGGACGTTTCGTCAAGTTAGGGCCATATGGCAAATCTGCTGATTTAAACTCAATTATGAACTGTTTATAGGTGCGTATAAGCTGCATATATATAGTGTTTGCGAAGCTTAGGACGTAAGGAACAACTTTCATAAAGGAACTACAAGCATTCAGACGTTCGTTGGAAAGGTATGTTAAGGCTAAGCTCCGTCCTTCCTTTTAGCACGAACTTTTGGAAATTCCTAAGACGTCAAATGTGATATTTTACTATTCTATTGCTAGAAAGACCTTATGTGAAAGACATTGGGATTGTAGCTGAAGTATTTTCATGATGCTATTAGGTTGATATTCCACTCGTTCGGTTAATTATGGTATTCGACAT